TTTCGTCGATGTGTAGATTACTGTTTTACTCAAAGATTGGGGAACAATTTCTAACATTTAATGTCTGATGATATTGGCGATAATTTTTTATTCCGTCAGTTCTTGCGTAAAAATATAAATAACAACGCCAACACTCGCCTAAAGAAGGATATCTGTGTGTAGGTTTTTTGGAAAACTCCATTTTTACATAGCACTTCGTAACAGAAATACAGGGTGTCCCAAAAGTCATCAGCATACATATTTCTTAACATTCTACAACTGTTATCAGAAACTTTTTTTGACACCACCTAATCCTGAAAAGTTTTTGCAGGGTTCGGGTCTTCTTGGACACCCTGTATAAACAATTTTTGCAACTACGGCGACAAATTCAAGGTGAGACGCTGAGAACAAGAAGTATTTTTATTATTGGGCCAATTAAGTGTCCCTTAGTGCGATGGAATTTGCAATCGTATCACTTGGAACTGGAAGCATTTCGCCATTTTATCTAACGGGGCAAGGTCAGGCTAAAATCGTGGTGACAACCGAGTTGCCTGCGTAATTTTTTAATCAAAAGCAATGAGGCTGATTAACATAGACGTGCCCGAGGGCAAATCCTATGCGGCAAGGTTGTAATAGGAAATAAAACTCACAATCAGTGACAATTTTTTTATTTTCTTCTTTGTCTTTTGGGACATCTTAAATTGTATACCGATATAAAAACATTAAGGAAATATAATAATTTGTTGAAATTTTTTACCTCGGTTACAAAAAACTAATTGTTCAAGATCTCCTTCTATTAATGTTTCGATTACTACTTTCGTCAAACTCTTAGGCATTGGACGATATCCAACTGATTTACTTTTCAGGAGGAGTATCTAATATGAGAATCTTTCCAGATGAGGAACAGAACTGAGAATCAATTTTTGGACAAATATTTCGTCAGTACCATTAAAACACATTTTTGGTTTTAAATGCACTTAAATCTTATATTATTATATCTAGTTCGTCGAGCTATCTAAGCATCTTTAGTAAATTGTAACTAAATCTGCACGACTATGTCTATTTAATACATAGATAGTGCAATACATTAAATAACATAACCGCTTACATTGTACATTGTTGATATTGGATTCAATTAACTGACGCATAATTAACTGAAATTTCTACAATAAATTTTTCATTAGTCTTAAAAAATAAAGTAATACTGATGATAACAAAAACAACAAACTGTTGTACTCCATTTTAAACAACAAAATTATTGAATAAAAAAACAATTTGCAAAAATCATTTTTGACACTGAAAATCTCATTTTTTCTAAACGTTTAATCTAAAAAGAAGAGCTTTTGAGACAAATGACCTTCACAGTACTAAAGACAATAGTTCGACTTATCGTCAGTAAAATTTTGGAATTTTTTTATCAATTAACAAAAAATTTACGATGAGTTAAACTGAGAAGTATCAATTTTGTAAGTAGAAAACCGTGATTTTTCAACATTTTCAATTAATAACTAAAAAAATGGGATAACGAAACTAACTGAAATTTTAGCACACAATGGAATAATAGTGAGGCTATACAGGGTGTTTAAAACTCCCCAGCTGGATATCACGAAAACGGAAAAAGATAAATGATTTCTGAATTTGTAATTTTTGTTAATTTTGCATCAGTTTTTGTTAAATAAATATTACTCCGTCTTGATCGAAAAGACTATGATTTGCGTAAACAAGATTAAATGAAATAATTTCCTGTGATATCTATTAGTTAAATAAAATTAATTCATTACTGTATTATTCAAAGCAATCTAATACGACGAAAATCTGCAGTAGTTATGCCTGAAAACTTAACTTTAAAAAATCTTCCTCCTAGAAAAAAAATTACCTCAAATCCAAGTATCTCGGGAACTAGTGGCTTTTCGAAATTTTGTTTATATCACAAAAGTTGCTTATAATTTAGAGATTTTTCATGTGCGCCACTTTTCAAAACTGCTGTCAACAATATATGTTTTCGGATCGCAGCGACATCTATACCTGCACTGAGAGGAACAGGATTTGTACTCACAAGTCAAGCCATTTATTGAAACTATACAGTGGATTTTTCAGAAATCATTTATCTTTTTCCGTTTTCGAGATATCCAGCTGGGGAGTTTTAAACGGGATACCCTGTCCAAATTTCAAAATTTTTAGCCTTTACGTTTTCTTAATATCGGTTTCCAAACTCAGAGGTATATTTCATTTATTTCGATAGTAGAAGGTATAGATTTGGAGATATTCATTTTGAAAGGAAAAATTTGAGAGATGCAAAGGTCCGCGTGTTAGAACTCTTTCCAGGAGCGTGATATCACGTGGATTTTCGGTACCTGTAAAGGGCATAGGTAACACTAAATCATGGTATATGAACAAATTAAAACATTTAATACTAGGTGTTGCATTTTTGCTGTTACATTTTGATAACTTCAAACAGCTATAACTTTGTTAGCTTAACTGGAACGCCCTATATTTGTTTACTCTGTCGTATTCTGATCGAAACTTCCTTTCAAGCCATATAAGCATTGTTAGGGTTGCTGTTGCTACTTTTAGAGATATTTGCAATTTTCTATTTTTTGGACAATTTTTCTCGCATCAGACCTGTTATCGAATTGGCCATGGCCAGAAACACTCCAAAAACAATAATTAAAATAACTTGACATTGGAATGGAAACAATGGAGTACTTTGTAGCAAACAGGGCTAATAATGTATAAAATTAATAATAAAGTTTAAAAAAATAAAGTTCGGTTCCCACTAAACATTTTTCAGTTTCTGACATGTTTCAGAAACGTTTCTATTTTTCTTTAAACGTTTCATAAAAAATCCATGCAACGTTCTGGTAACGTTCTAGAAGCCCAAGATGTCCTCCCCAAAATACGTTTCCAATGAAACGTTTCAAAAAATTGGTTTCAGTAACATTCTTTTTATGTTCCATTTATGCCCTCGATATTTTTGTTTTACGTTTCAGTATATTTTCAGAAATGTTTGAGTAACATAATATTTTTATTACCATATTGTCCTCATAATGCTCTCAACTTTAGATAATTTTCATTTCAAGTGTTTTTGAAATAGTATAATTAGTGTGAGAATTTTTTTAAATATCTCTAATACTCTTTTGTAATATTTTTATTTGTATTGTGAATGACTTAATTCGAACTAAAATAAGTTACATTGTATATTAAAAAAAAATAAATATGCGCTTCTAGTTTGGGATGCGGCAACTTTTACCAAGGATTTCTTTCTTTTTGAGAAGCCACTGAAAAAAGTTTCTAATAGGATTACGAATTTTGCCATTCATATATCGTACAAATATAAATGTCACAAAACAATATCAGAAGCATTTAAAAAAGCTACACATTTTATATTGTTCAAATACGCTTCTGAAATGGAAATTTTCTAATGTTGAGGCCATCATGAATATGGTAACAATGACGAACTGATAATTAGAAAAAGTTATAGTTATGATTATGAATCTTGAAATGGTAGGTACATGAAAAACAAATAACATTACTGGAAAATAACATAAAGTTATAATTTCTTCAACGCATGGTCAATATTACATCTATCCTTTTAATAATAATAAATTATACAGCAGAAATAAGGATACAAAATGATATCTTGACAAAGTAAATATCTGTAGGTATACTTAAACTCTTTTATTTCAGCATGTACACATTGTACAAAATATAAAATAAAAGACGTATATTTCACTTAATTCATCCATATTTCAAATAGTTCTCACTGAGTAAGTAGTTGCTCTTCAAATTTATATCGAAACGTATAACTGCTGTTCCATTTTCTTAGTTCTTGTCCCTTGTCCTCTTGTCTGTAATAGGTAGTGGGTATAACTATATTTAGGTAGATGTGATGCAAAATTGGAAATCTCTACACATATCATTTTAAACATTTTGCATCAATATTCATTATTTTATATGCACCTTACAATAACCACAACTGCACACACTACAAATTATCACATAAAATAGCGTCAAAGTAAAGATGAAGAACAACGAAACCAAGCAAACTGGCAAACCGCAAACCTAACCTAACATAATACGAATTGAAACGACACACGGGAAACAAATAAACTCGGGCTGTTACGCGCAGTCTACGCAAGTCACGAACATACATTTTTTCTAGACTTGTGTTATAAATATGCTACCACATTTTTTTTTCTAATTATGTCTTTATATAACAAAGGCAAATGAACTAACGCTTGAGAAGGATTGGGGATTGAGAGCAAAATTTAACTAATGCCGAATGTTCCATAAGATAAGCAAAAATAGCAAAGGGTTGTTCGTCTGTTATGTTTCCGAGATCGAAAGGGAATGTTTCGAGTAATGTTTCAAACTCTCTTCAATTGTAACGTTTCGGCTATGTTTCACTAAATAAGTTTTCAAGTGCTACATTTCTGTAATGAAACAGAAACGTTTCTAGTTAATGTCTCAAATGTTTAGTAAAACATCTCATTTGCAACGTTTCATTTACGTTTCGTGTTTAGTGGGTTATTTTCTGAACAATACTCGTATGTGTTTTTAAAAAGAACAACAAAACTGTCTCTTGACCTGATGCAACATAACGATTTAAATAACTTTTGAGAATGATCTTATTTCGTCGTTAACTTAATTTGAACGAATATTCTGTTAATTAAGTAGCAAGATATCGAAGCAGATGTCATCACCTTAAAAAGGTAATTCCTCTATAAATAAAACAAATCACTTGTAAGTAATGGAAAAAATTAAGTATTCAACTGTAATTAATAAGAGTTCACAAGGGCAAGATATAAATAAAGTGATGTGCTTGCGAAATAATTAACAGAATACGGATATTAAAAACATGTTTTACTTATAAATATTTACTATTACATATTATTAATAAAAGTTCGTGAACGTATGCACATACATCTACGTGATAACAATACACTGACCCTCTTACGCACGTTTAATCGATGCCATATTTAGACAAACATCGCAATAAGAGTGGTACGATTTTTTTCCAGATAAAAATGTTTCGTCTACTACTTCCCGTATTGTTAGCCTCCACACGTGGGATGGTGATGGACAATCTGAAAGTAGCGTACCAATGGAAAATGCTGGACTACGTATACCCTACAGAGACAGAGCGACAGGAGGCGCTGCAGTCGAGGAGGTTTTTCCCCGAACACAACATTCCCACGGGATTGGAGGTGTTCGAAGACAGGCTGTTCGTGGCCATACCAAGACTGAGACGAGGAGTAGCAGCCTCGTTAGCGTATCTAAATATATCAGGTAATACCGTTAAGTAATACAAAAAATGCAATGGAGAGAAATCTATCAGAACAAATTTTGTGCCCGCAGATTCTTCTGTACCATTTATATGAAAACTAACTCTAACAACAATTAGATGGCGCTAGTGCTGCCGTTATAATAAATGATCCGAATAACAATAATTGCTATTAAAGTTTTATTGCTTAGTCGAAACATGAAATTCTCGTCAAAGCAAAACGTCTGGTCGCCTTAATTTAGGACATTTATTACTTAGTCCGGTCAAAATAGACATTTCAAATAATGAAAATTCCGACAGAGCTAAATGTTGGTGGAGACCTTGGGTACACCATTAGAAATAAAGTGTCAAAAGTCCCCATCGATACCATGTGTGCTAAAAAAGTTATTCGGGATCAAAGGTCAAAATTTGAGGTTTTTTTAATTTTTTTCGAAAACGCTAAGTTTTATTAAAAAAGTAGCGCTGATGAAAATTATAGATCTCAAGATTATCTACAAAAATGGTCCTTATACTTTTTTTAAGAACCATCATTCCTGAGTTATCGCGATTCTAATAGTTGAAGGAGTCACGTTCTACATGATATGCACACATTTCCACACCACCTGTGAGGTAGTGTACTTTGACGCGTTTTTTTTAACGTGGTTTCCCCGGTAGGCCTACTCCACGAACTGTTATGATGGAATTTTCAGATACTCTTTTAACTGTATGACGATTATTGATATTGATATTGGTTATTGACTTTAACTGTAGTTCTGATTTCTTTTGATATTTTAATCTGATTCATACTCTTCAAAGTCGACTTCAACAGTCATGTCTTCTTCGATTTCTTCTTCTTCTTCCTCTTCTTCTTGCTGGATGTTCATAAATTGTTCAAATGAAGATGAATCAGCTGTCTCTTCATCGAAATCACATGAATCTTCGTCTGTTGTATTCAATTGGACATTTGAGCAAGACTGGCTTTGGCAATTAGTACACGCTGGAGAACACAGTAACCCTACTCTTCTACAGCCACATTTAGCACTACAACCTTTTTTGCAATTGCAAAAAATAGTGTTTAGGAGTTTTTCCAGAGCAGGTGGAAGTAAAGTTTGAATCGGTTCCAAAGTATTATCTGTTAATTTCCAACCCCAGTCTTCTGGGTTCAGTTGATTGCCTAGCCATGTCTGAACTTGATAGTATACTCGATACAAGTGTTGATTAGCAGAAGCCGATGTTGGAGGAAGACAAGATAGTTGTACTTGTTTCTTGTTTCGTGTATTTTTTACAGAAGTTAAATATCTATATTTATCTATACAATCAATTTTTTTTGGAGCTCCTTAACAGCAAGGAGAAAGCGAATTCCTTTTGTGATTATTGTTTGAGGTGAAGAATCAATTTCTGCAATCAATCAAATCTTTTTTTCCAAATAATTTTAATACTGATGTTTTACCCCTTCTGAACATTGCTGATGTAGTATCGCAGTCGGTTATCGCATGTAAAAATAAGATGTGGTTTTGGCGTTTTGGATAAGCAGATAAACTTTTTGAAGAATATATTTCTGTTCGCTGTTGAGCCTTTCCAGGTTTTAAAAAATATATAATTTTATCAACTGGAGTCCTTGCAGTGAGTAGTATTAATAAGTCAACATTTTCACCAACTACAATAGTTGTATTTGTTGCATTAAATTGTTCTATTGCTGTTTCAATTATACGGACATCTGCAATCTGCATCATTTCGACTAAGGGACTGAGTTTCTTTTGAGTGTATATTCTCAGAGTTTATACATATAAGAGACACAAATATGCATTTTTTACTTGCATTAAGTGCCTGACTATGTATATACGTTGCATATATGTTCATATCATGTAGAAAGTGACTCCTTCAACTTTTAGAATCGCGATATCTCAGGAATGGTGGCTCTTAGAAAAAAAATATAAGGACCATTTTTGTAGATAATTTTAAGATCTAAATTTTTGTCCCAGCTACTTTTTTGATAAAACTTAGCGTTTTCGAAAAAAATCCAAAAAACCTCGAATTTTGACCTTTGACCCCGAATAACTTTTTTAGCACACATGGGATCGGTGGGGACTTTTGACACTTTATTTCTAATGGTGTACCCAAGGTCTCCACCAAAATTTTGCTCTGTCGGAATTTTTGTTATTTGACCACTATTTTTATGACTAATTTGACCGGACTATACTTTTATTACCTTATCACAACAGTTTAAGCAACAAATTTCTGTTTCGAAGATTTGACGGTGTCGATCGCACTGCCCTCTGGCCGCGGACGAACTAACTTATCGTGAAACAGTGTGCAATGCCAATAATTAGAGGGGCCCGCTTGTCCTCCATATCGCATAGACAACGGACATTAGATAAAAGAGGATTATTAAATTTTCATCAAAATATAACATATTTTAACTCGTTGATTAAACAGTACAGGCGCCATCTTTCAGATAGATGTTTAATTTTTAATGGTGTGGTAGGTAATAAATGTCTCTAGAAATGTATAAAAATTGCAATGTTGACTTCATTGTAAGAAATCTATTTTGCGTTTAGTTTTTAAACTATAGCACTGTTTCAGAGAGCAATATTTTCAAAATTTTTTTCTGGTTGTTAACTTTGGTAAGGGTACCTTTTCATCAAGATATTTGACAGTAAATTTAATAATATTAACGGATATAAATACAACTTATAATTTAACAGTACAAATCAGTTTCATTGTCTAAAATATTATACTAATAACGAAAATTATTCTTGAAAACAGGTCTACATTTTCAAATACTTTGACAACTGAATTGAATGATAAACTCGTGATTCATATAAAAGATAGTTACGTGTGTTGTCCAGGGGAAAAGACTGATTAACATAAATGTAAAATCATTGCTGCTATTTCAAGACGTATTACCTTGCCGCAACTATGACATAAAAACAAATGTGATTATTTAATGTGAGAAAACTTCGTCCATAGCCATTATCCTTAAGCCGTATTTGCAAACAGTGTTACAATTGTTACAGTTTCATTGACTTCTTTTTCTTTCTTGAGTTTTAAATGTCATCTGCAGCTGCTAATAACCTATATGTTGTCTGATCGTCATTTAAAAGTCAGTTGTAGGTCGCGTAAGCAAAAAATAGATTTTGACGAGCGTGGATGTGGATACGTCTGCAAAATCGTTCATGCAGAACCTATCATTCCGAAAAATCAGTATAACAAAACACGAAATGATCTTTCTACTCATAATTTCCGAATGCATGAACTAATCGAGGCAGAACAACTACTAATCGAAAGCCAAAAGTAGGTCGCTTCTAATGTGGTACGAATGAACTTTGTAATTTTACAACTGTGAGCGTGGAGCGTTTCGAAAATGACTTTCGAAATCGATACCCGATCAATTTTGGTAATCGGTCCCTAATCGAAAATCGTAAATAAGTAAATGAAACTTCGTTAGATTCGTTTTAAGAATTAAAATTGAACATAAATAAAAACGTAAAACACAGTGCTCTAGTTGTAACGAGCTTTCAAATAAAAACGTGGTCAAGTTGGTTCTGAAAATTTGAACGTAGGGCGTAGCGTATAGCAAATGAACTTAAACGTCATCTGTCAAAGCGCTATATCGCCGCTATCAATTTGAATATTTTCGTTTTAAAAAGCGTTTAAAATGGTGTTTTCTCAAGAACAAAAAGTGTTTATCATAGAGTCCTACTTTAGAAATGGACGCAAGATTGATGGAATATGGAAGTATTCTATTGAGGAATGTTTCATAGAATTTCAAAATCAATTTCCCGGCGTTGTTGAGTACAAAATTTTTCAAAGTGCAGTTCAGCGTTGTGTTAATGTTTTTCGTGAAACGGGCAGTGTAACAAGAAAAGAAGGAAGCGGCCGACCTAAAAAGCGGACTGAAGAATTAAAAGAAAATGTCCAACAAATAATGGAAAATGCGCCAAGAACTTCTGTACGTGTTTTATCACAAATGGTGGGAGTATCAGTCGGTACCTGCCACACAGTGTTAAAAAAAGATTTGCGTTTGTTCTCCTATCGTTTAACTTGTCAGCAAGAACTTCATGAAGTTGATTTTCCGCGACGGGCTGTATTTTGTGAATGGTTTTTAAACAACTACGGTGAACTTCATAATATCACCTTTTTTTCTGATGAAGCCTGGTTTCATTTAAGTGGTTACGTAAACTCACAGAATATGAGAATGTGGTCTTCTGAAAAACCAGATAACTTTTTTGTCGAGGGCCCTCTACACGCTCAAAAAATTGGAGTTTGGTGTGCTCTCAATCGAAGGAGGATTTATGGACCTATTTTTTTTAATGGTACTCTTACTGCGCAAAGGTATAGAGAAGAAATTATCGCTCCTTTTGTTAACCAGCTGGAAGAAAACGAAATTACAAACTTTTACTTTCAACAAGATGGCGCAAGGGCACATACGGCAGGCGAGACGATGAATATGTTGAGGGAAGTTTTCCAAAATCGACTAATAAGTCTCAATGCTGAACATGAATTTCCACCGAGGTCATGTGATATTACGCCGTGTGATTTCTTTTTGTGGCCTTACCTTAAAAACACTATTTTTGAACTGCCTATTCCTGATTTAAACCATCTGCAGGCTCGACTTATAGACAAGATTCGTGAAATTAACAATACCCCGAGCATCTTAGAAAATGTCTTTAATTCTTTGAGGAACAGGTGTGAAAAGTGCTTGGAACAAGGAGGGGGACACTTTCAGCAGCTGCTTTAATTTATTGTTATAACAAGGAGGGGGACACTTTCCGCAGCTCCTTTAATTGTTTGTTATTGTTATCACGATTATTCTCTAAAATAAAGTTATATAGTCATTAACGTTATTGAAACTGACAGCTGCTATACAGCTCGTTGAGAAATGAGGTTAAGTTGGTCACTATAAGCTACTCCCTACGTCCAATGTGTCAGGGCCAACTTCGACCACGTTTTTATTTGAACGCTCGTTATATGCCAAGTTCAATTGTTTTTCTAAGTTTTTGAAGTCTTCAAAACACCATGGAACTTTTGTGGGAATTTTTTTCCCTATACTTACTTGAAAATAAAAATATTACCAGGGTGGTTATTTTATGTGTGAATGTATGTGTATATGTCTTTCAGTTGCAGCAATTATTTCCGCTAGTTAAATTGTCAAGTAATAATTTATTCATTCTTAGAAATCAAATGAATGTAACCCAAAATTAGTTTGTTGTAAACTGAATTTTTATCAGGGATTGTATAATTTTAGGAAACATTTCTCTATCGCAGAAGGCTACGACTTCAGGACTAATCCTTGTGATTATGAGAAGATGTACTTTGCAATACAAAATTTTGAGTTTACCGACCCAGAGCTAACCTAAACTAACCATAAAATTGGTTGGTCGTGAAAAATAGCTTAACGGTTATATTATTATTATTATTATTATTTAAAATCCCTAGGGACTTTTAACTAATTTAAAGTCGCTGCATATTGATAAAGTACCGTTCTCAACTGCCATTTTGGAAAAAAATCCCTATTGTCAACTTTGAAATGTAACTTTGAATTTTAAGTATATTTTTATACTATAACTCAATATTTTGATTTAAATATTGGAAAAATTAAATTTTTATAGTTTTTTAATTGAATTGATATGTCAAACCGCCATTTTGAGTTAAACCAGAACCATTAGTTGCGGTAATTGGTAAATTAAGGATGTTTTTCACGGTCATGTCACGTTAGTATACTGTTGCCTTTGTTATCGTGCAGATGTTGCGTAATTAATTCCTATCCATTGTAGACAATTTAATTTGTTGCTTTTTAATAAACAATGCGTACGCCTATGTCCCGCGGCTCAGTTCTGACAGCCTTACTTATCAAATAAGAATGAAGTGTGTGATTACAAAACAAAGTAAATATTACTCTACTGTAAAAAATAATAATTTATTTCAATGAGTTCATAAAAATATTTTAATCTTGACTCAACAGTCCTACTTTTTTACTACGTTTATAAGAATTTGGTCATAACTCAATCTTAAAAATTGGCCATAAAATGGGCATGCGTACTTGTCACGGTATTAGTCTTGATCCTAAAGAAGTTAAAAGATAGGAACTTTCAAGGACAGGTCTTAAGACCTCTGTAAGTCTAGGACTAGGTTAGGATTTTTATAAATATGCACATTGAAATCTGTAGGGCAAAGACAATTTACTGTTCATTAAATTTACTTTGTCGTTTTAGTGTCCTTTGCCCAACTCTGTGTAAAATCTTATAATCTCTTTTATTTACCATTTTTTTTTATATTTCAGAAGCTCCTTCGAACTCCCCAAAATTGTACCCATACCCGAGCTGGGAGGCCCACAAGATACGCATCAACGACCCCCCGGAAATAGTGTCCACCTTCAAGATCCGCGCCGACCTCTGCGGCCGCTTGTGGGTCTTGGACTCGGGCTTCATCGACGTATTGGAACCCACCATCAAACAGCTGGTCAAACCCCGACTACTCATCTACGACCTGAGATCGGACCAGCTCATACGCTCCTACACCATCCCCGACAGTCAGATGTACAAGAACGAGAGCGGCTTCGTCAACATCGCCGTCGAGGACGAGGATTGCCAGAACACCTTCGCCTACCTAGCCGACGTGTTCGGACCGGGCTTGGTGGTTTACTCCTACAAAGAACAAAGATCTTGGTTGGTGAAACACCACTACTTCAACATCAACCCCGTGGCGGGGAAAATGACGGTCGGAGGTGTGGAGTTCATGGGGGATGAAGGACTCTTTGGCTTGGCCTTGTCTGGAGCGGATCCGGAAGGCTACAGCACGTTGTTTTTCCACCCCATAACGAGCTTTGATGAGTTCGCAGTCAGCACCAAGGTGCTGCGCGATGAAGATTTTGCCACCAACTCGACAGCGAACTTCCACCAGTTCAGAAGGCTGGGCACCAGAGGGGAGAAGGGACAGAGCGGTGCTTCTTACGTGGACAAGAAGTCCAACGTTATTTTCTTCGCTTCGATTCATCTAAACGCTGTTATTTGTTGGAGGATCACCAACACCAACTACACCACGGCTTCTCATAGTAGGGTGTTTTGGAACAACGAGACGATGGTGTACCCCAGCGACATCAAAGTTGACGCCGACAATACCTTGTGGGTGCTATCGAACAAGCTACCCGTCTTCTTGCATGCCGGTTTGGACTACAACGAATATAATTTCAGGATTCTCAATGGGAAGGTGGCGGAAGCTATCAAATACACCGCCTGCGATTCCAAGATGGTGGTCAACAAGACCATTGTGGAGAAAATCAAGGGAGTGTTGAAAAAGGACAAATCGGAACCTAGTTCTTCATCTAGTGATTACATTCGCGGGATAGCTCTGCCTCTTCTGGTTGCACTCGCCTTCGTTGCGATGTCTAGGTAGATACTTAATGGTACTCGCGATTTTATTTGTAAATAATTTAAATTAATATTTGATCGTATCGAGCATAAAAATATGTACATAGACAAATTAATATATACTACTGCGAGAACGAGTTTGAGTGGAGCAATCGATTTCAATGGAAGGAGTCGTTTCTGTTAAGGATGATATGTTGTATTGGGATGAGAGAATTATATTTACCGCAAAAAAGACGAACGAATGCGATATACTTGCGTTGAAATAAAAAAGAAATATTTTCTCCTTTCATCTCTAGAGAAATTTCTTTTATTAATAGTCTAACCTTAAAATTTCGTGATAGTATGTAGATTTATTGCGATACTGTTGAATCCTGCGATCAACAGAATTGTTACGAATGTGTAGGGTGTTGCCTAATCTAGAGAGGTGCATTATAATTCTTGTATTTATAAATACACTATGAGAATGTAGATATACGGATACAACCAATAGAACAGTATTAATTTATTTCCTTAGTGTCTAATATAAATTGTGTCATACTAATCTATTTATCAATTTTATAAATATTTTGATTATATATAAACATCTAAAATGATTTGTTTATTTGCTGTGTAAAGTCGTTATGTAAAATATTTCTATTTAATCAATAAATTTAATATTTATACTCTGTATTTTTTTCATTTCCCTATGTTCAAGGTAGGAAATCCTTATATATTACTGATCTGTGGTAGGAAATCTATTTGACAACTAAAATAATGTGATCATACTTATTCTCCATGGTATAAAAGCAACAATCACTGTGGTGACATTTACAATAAAGAAGTAAGAGTTAAAAATTGTGTGATGAAATGATGATTGTATTTCAAACAAAAATAATGTAGGATAAATAATTGTAACAATTTAAGTTTATTGCTCAGTTACAGAATAATATGATTACATTATTTTTAAGTTTAAACTAATTTTTCATCATTTTCATATTCCTTCTAAATTCGTAATTGTATGATCAAAGCTATTCAAAGACAAAAAGAACATGTCACAATAATTGTGATATAAAAATATTTTGGGTTATGAAAGCAGCTAACCTTTCTAGATTATTTAAAGCTTGTTAATACTCCAGTCGAATTAGACCATAAAATCTGAAAACTTGAGTGGCATATTTACGTGTTTTTTCACTTTTTTTACTGCCCACGAAAATCTAAATAACCTATCGGATAATTAGTCATTTTATGTTGTAGGCAATTAAATTATCTACAATTTAAGGTATCTAAAGTCATATTTCATCAATTTGTCAACTGTAAAATCCGAACGCGGAAATATCAGTTTTCGAAAACTGCGCATTATTGCAAAAAGCGATGGATGTTGATGAAATTTATGGAAAAGACGGTCAGTCCAATGACCAACAAGTGTGTCGATTCAATTGTCCGTGAAATTGTTGCTCCAGCTGTTTGTTAATTAATTTTGTTTTTTTTACAAATAGAATCGAAAAAGAAAAATTTCAAAAACTGGTAAAAATCAAATCAAATCAAATCATTTACTGGTGTCTATACATTAAAATGTTTACACAAGTCAAAGAAAGAAAAACACGAAAGATACAGTCATATAAGCAGTACTACACTAAAGCTAAAAACACATTCAGATAAATACCTATAACGTAAACAGCATAAAAAAGTGAATATTACGAACATACAATGAATATCTAAAAACTGGTCAGCAAGAAACTCATTAAAATTGTAAAATGTTTTTCTCTTAAGATATTTTCTAATTCTGGCCTTAAAACAGTCTGAATTTAGTGATCGAATCTCAGATGGAAGTCTATTAAAGAATTTAATGCAAAAATAATTTGTGCCATCTCTGAATTTCGCTAATCTATGAGATGTAGGCCTAATATTGTGTCGCTCTCTTGTAAGATGAAAATGAAAATTTTCTTGTCGAATAAATCTATTCTGATTATTTTTTATATAAATGAGACATTCAAATATGTGAATTTACGGCATTGTAAGAATATTTAGCAGTTTGAAGTGCTCCCGACAATCATCTCTGTATTTTATTCCAGCCATAATTCTAATATAACGAGCGTTCAAATAAAAACGTGGTCAAGTTGGTTCTGAAAATTTGGACGTAGGGCGTAGCGTATAGCAAATGAACTTAAACGTCATCTGTCAAAGCGCTATATCGCCGCTATCAATTTTAATATATTTTCGTTTTAAAAAGCGTTTAAAATAGTGTTTCCTCAAGAACAAATAGTGTTTGTCATAGAGTTCTACTTTAGAAATGGACGCAAGATTGATGGAATATGGAAGTATTCTATTGAGGAATGTTTCATAGAATTTCAAAATCAATTTCCCGGCGTTGTTGAGTACAAAATTTTTCAAAGTGCAGTTCAGCGTTGTGTTAATGTTTTTCGTGAAACGGGCAGTGTAACAAGAAAAGAAGGAAGCGGCCGACCTAAAATGCGGACTGAAGAATTAAAAGAAAATGTCCAACAAATAATGGAAAATGCGCCAAGAACTTATGTACGTATTTTATCACAAATGGTGGGAGTATGAGTCGGTACCTGCCACACAGTGTTAAAAAAAGATTTACGTTTAACTTGTCAGCAAGAACTTCAGAAGTTGATTTACCGCGACGGGCTGTATTTTGTGAATGGTTTTTAAACAACTACGGTGAACTTCATAATATCACCTTTTTTTCTGATGAAGCTGGAAGAAAACGAAATTACAAACTTTTACTTTCAACAAGATGGCGCAAGGGCACATAGGCAGGCGAGACGATGAATATGTTGAGGGAAGTTTTCCAAAATCGACTAATAAGTCTCAATGCTGAACATGAATTTCCACCGAGGTCATGTGATATTACGCCGTGTGATTTCTTTTTGTGGCCTTACCTTAAAAACACTATTTTTGAACTGCCTATTCCTGATTTAAACCAGCTGTTGGCTCGACTTAGACAATAGACAAGATTCGTGAAATTAACAATACCCCGAGCATCTTAGAAAATGTCTTTAATTCTTTGAGGAACAGGTGTGAAAAGTGCTTGGAACAAGAAGGGGGACACTTTCCGCAGCTCCTTTAATTGTTTGTTATTGTTATCACGATTATTCTTTAAAATAAAGTTATATAGTCATTAACGTTATTGAAACTGACAGCTGCTATACAGCTCGTTGAGAAATGAGGTTAAGTTGGTCGCTATAAGCTACTCCCCAAATCCAATGTGTCAGAGCCAACTTCGACCACGTTTTTATTTGAACGCTCGTTATTTACGTTGTAAACCAAAAATTTTATCACTGTGAGACGAATGACCCCAATTCAAAATTGCATAAGTCATGGTGGCATGAAAAGTACCATAATATGCAGATATGAGTACAGGCTTCCATACTACACGATCCAAATTACGCAGTAGGAAAATATTCTTAGATAAACGTGCGGATAAATCATTGACATGTTTTTCCCAACTCAATTTAGTGTCAAGGTGAACTCCAAGAAATTGAATGCTATTTGAGTTATCACAAGTATTGATATGGCGAAGTGTAAAAAGCAAAGATTGAGTTTTGTCAATCTATTAGCAATAAACCAGTCCTTTATCAGCGGCGGCGTATCCACCGAATCCTCTGTGAGTTTAATTAAGTTATTATTTGACTTTAAAGCGGTAGTATCATCGGCAAATAAAATAAAATCAGTAGTTATATCACAATTTGGAAAATCATTGATATAGATAAGAAATAGAATAGGGCCCAATACTGAGCCTTGGGGAACTCCACGAACTATTTTTGTTAGGTGTGAAGAACAAGAAATATAAAAAACTTTCTGTTCGATAGATAAGACTCGATAAGGGACACGCTATTGTCATCAAAATTATAAAGTAGGATGTGCAAAACAGCGTTAATTTGCCACACTTCTTCCGAGTTACTTTTTTGATATTGTCATTCTACCTACCTTTCCCCGTTATAAAGTGCAATAAAATGCCTACTAATAATTATTTCAAGTTCAAACTCTAATTCAATTGGAGTATAAACTAATCATTTTCTATATTACTTAAGGCTAAAAGATATTTCCCACAGTATATTATTTGGGATCCATTTTTTTTTGTATTTTAATCTAATGCCACAGAAGCTCGGCACAGAAAACCAATAAACTCAAAATAATTCCACCGATATAGATGTAGACCACATTTAACAACTGCGTAATTTTCAATTTGCGAACGAATATCTGGTGATAATTCCCCTCCGCCTTGATTTGTGCCTTTCGATTGTCTTCCCGAAGTTTTTCGCTGATGTATTCATTAATCCCATTCTCGAGCAAAGTGTTCACGATCTTACTAAACCTGGGAAAAACGGGATGACCCTTGACGAAAAAAAATCTGAAATAAAACTTCTGGACGTCCTCGTTTATAATATGCATGAGTGCTCGTCCTTTCTTGTCCACGTATTTCCTCGGAGTGTAGTATTCCAAAGTCTTCTTCAACTTCATGGTGGTGACGTTCCTGTGAAAAGCTACCATATCCACGCAATCTAACTCAAAACCGCACGTTCTAGGACTGTTGGTGTCCAAAAATTTGTCAATGGGGTTGTCCCTGTCGAAGTACCCTTCCGTGCGATTGTTAAACATCGGCACCAGATTAGAATGGACGATGTCTTCTAAGGAGTCGATCTGGTACTCGAAGTGTTCCATGGTGAGGGTCGAGAATAATTTGCTCTTGTATGCCGTGTTGAAAGCAATGATGGAAAACATTAAAAAAAAGTACAAGCACCTAGTAGAAGGTCGATTAACTCGACGCATGTCAAAAGGTACTTCGAAATTTATTTGTAGGAACTCCAGGAACTTGTCCAACTTGTTCTTCCAACGATTTAAGATGCACATCGTGAGGAAAACCAGAGCTAAAGCCAATAGGTGTATCAAAACAGTTTCTTTTTTAAATATGTAGTTGAAAATATTGAACTGGTTAATTCTTTTAGCTTTGGGCACGACGAATTGGATGGGATCGATGACGTGGATCGGAGTCAAATCGAAATCGAGGTGGTAATCGTCGTAATCAAACATTTGACCAAATCCGACGTCGAACGTGCGATCGAAGATTCCTTTATATAAAAAATTGTAACTGCCGTCGAGTTTATCTCCCCAGTACGTAGTTCTGTATTGAATGTACTCAACCTTCACATCCAAGTAGTTCGCTGCTAGGTCAAACACCTCTGCTTCTATGCCTTTGTTCGTGGGACATTCTGGGCATATCACGAAAGGGGGTTTCTTCAGATAACCCACCCTAAGGGTGATATTCGTGGTGTCACTGAGTCGCGCCTTCGTCGATTGTTGGAATATTACCTCCTGCTTTCGAACAGGAGACATTTTGGAGAGCTTTCTGTTGAAATGATACGTCTTTCCTTTTGGATTCACAACGAAAGTTTCGACTATATAAAATTTTTTCAAAGCGTGCAATAGTGACTGTTTATTGACTTCATTCGCTACAAGCAGATGTGTCGCTCTCGGATCGAACAAAGTGTTTCTGTGCAAATCGAACAGTACCTCTTCTAAATCGTCTCCTTGGGATAAGTCGATGATATACAAATCTGGCATGAAATGTACGTTACCTGGATTGTTCCAGAACAGTCTTTTTTTTCCATAAAACCGACAAGTGGGAAACTGGAACGTCAAGTTTGTATTCACCAGGCATATAAAGCCTTTCTTCACATGTTCCGGTATTATTCCGGCGATAGTCTCGTTCACTGGGCACAATTCTGTGCTGCGTTTGATGAGCAATGCCAAAAATATACAAGCGCTGAGATACATTTTGTACCAAATGAAGGAATTTTTGTGCCCATTACAAACGGTGTAGTAATGATGTTTGCTTTACGAAATAAATACGTACTTTTTAGGCAGAGCTGTCATTATTTCCTATTTAGTTTTAATAATCATCTATCGGCTGCATGTTTATTGTGTTGACACAACAGACACACCTTACAATCACCTGTTATCAGATAGGGGCAGTAATTTGGATTTAATGACACTATCGAGAAGGATGAACGACGTAGTTGAAATAGATATAATTGTTGTGAAACGTTATATATCGAATTAGCAAAGGTTTAAAGTCTTTGAAGATTTGCTTTCCTTATGTTATAGCAAATACTGAAAATGCCCCACCATATCATTTATGCATAAGCTTATACATATAATCTGATCAAATTAGATTTTTACGATTTGTTTATCAATAGATATGGGTTGGGCTCAAAAATTTTGTTCTCCACCGTTTGTCTTAAAAATTTTTTCTAAAATGTTTAGTTTAACGTTTGTTGTGTTTTTTGCGAACTTTGGACGCCATTTTGAAAATGAAGCCCTAGCATTGAGCTGGGGTAAAGTAATTCATTCAATTATAGGGAATTTTTCCTAATTTTTACGTATGTTTGTTTATTGAACTACATTTGGGCAAAAAACGAGGTATTTTCGACAATTTGACTGGCCTAATAGATTGAAACTTCAATGTTTTGTCGAACAGGATTTGACAGCAGCAGCACCGACAACAACAACAGCAACAACAGCGACACCAACAACATCAGAAACAACAACAATTGTCCAAATATTGCAACGTGTAAAAAGAGTGCCACAAATATAATTGATTTTGAATTAGTCGAACAATTTATTGGTCCAAAAATTAATAAATATACCTAAAACAAGTTTTAATCTAGACAAAATCAGTTTAATGCAAATAAGAACAAAGGTGACGTATTAAAATACTATTTGACTCGTGCCACTACAACTTCGCAGTTGCTTGAGGAAATCAAAAACAATTTAAGAGATAGGTGCAATTACATTTGGCAACACAGCGTATTTTGACATTCTGACGTCACCCGATTCTTCTGATGAAAATAGAAAATGCAAGGCTGCCTAACTAAATATTTAGCTCATAGTCGAGCTGTGCTTATTTTATAATAATTCATAAGCTGTTTTTTTTTCAGTTCATATTCCCATTTACCCAATGCATCTTACTGTTTCACTCTTCTAGAGTTACTTTGCCGATTAAGGACAATTTTTAAGAATTCATCAAATTATTTGAGAATAATTTGGACAATACAAAAATTGATTAAGTAAAATATTAAAATTGCATAGTTATAACGTAAATTAAATGAACATGAATAAATGAATTACTTAAATGATTTTTATTTTCAACTGCGAATAACTTAAGGAATCATTATTTGACACGTCATTTCTTATACAAAGTGTCCGCAGTTTCCTGCGATCAAAATAAGCAAGTAACTAACTAAACTCACCTCAACCTCTGTTTAGGCTATCAAAGATGGCAAAAAACAGGGTGTTTCGCAAAAGAACCAACACAGAGCAGTTACTTTTCCAAATTCTGAAAGTGGTATGTCACGTACGTTTACGATTACTTCTCGTCTGGGACTTTCTTACCTTTCTATGATTCCTAATAAGATTGCACAGTTTTTGAAACTAGAACATCCTGAAACATATACAGGCCATTCATTGCGAAGAACATCGGCAACGTTACTGGCTAGTACAGGAGTTGATGTATTAGCAATCAAGAGACATGGTGGGTGGAAATCAGCCGCAATTGCAGAAAGTTGTGTTGCTGACAGTTTAAGTAATAAAAATGAAATAGCCAACAGGATTCTTTACAATGACACTTCAACTGCAGGTTCTAGTAGTACGTCGCATCAGTCAGATAATATTGAGACTCCGGTGACTGAAATGGAGCGGCTAAAACATTTTGAGAAAAAAGTGACAATAATTAATAAACGCGAGGGGAATAATTATCCAGATTTTATAAATGTTACTAAATGTAATAACTCTACAATTACTAGAAATATTTATTTATAATAAAATAATAAAATTCTTCAAATATTTCTATTTATTTGTTCATAAAATATGCATTTATAACTCGAAATCGCTTTTTTCCCTAGGGAGGTAAGGTACCTCTCTTCAACTTCCACTTCTACGGTAAAATCCACTTACCTCTTTAAAAACAATGCAGTAATAGTCCATTTACTATAGTGGGAGCAGGTAAAAATTATTACTTTATTTTATGGGGAATTTAATTCTAAAACTTCTCTTACTCTTGTTAGTTTTCAAAAAACGTTGTCATTTTAAAAACACGAATAACTAATAATACGTATTGTAGTTGTGTTAAAATCATCGAAAATTCAAAAGTTGGCTATGAATTTAAACGTTAAACTTTACGACCAAGAAAAAAGAAGATTAAGAATAATTTAATAGTTAAACAAACAACTTTCAACTTTCAAAAAAAAAGGAGCTTATTTACAGGAAACTGTAAACGGAATATTGGGACACCACGTATAGGTGAGTATTTATTCACCCTGTATATTCTCAGTAACACTAATCTACAAGTTTTACCAGGAACATGATCGATTCCAGTTAATTTCGAATTTTTCAGCAGACAAACGGTATTTGGTCGGCCGCTTTTCGCAAAGTTAGCTAATACGGCGTCAACAAGGGAAAAACTCGTTAACGAAACGCATCCTAATTCTCGGATTCCCAGTAAATCACTTATTATCTGCGTCTGTACATAGATACCAATAAATTCGCCGGTTTATTAGCGCTGTGCAATAAAACGATGGCAGATAAAGTTACCCGCCGATCTAATGAACTAAAAAATTTACGATCATGACAACCGTAGATAAACAGCGAAATCTGAAAAGGATTATTAGTTTTATGGTCACGCGAAATAAAAACATGGCTCTTGTGCTCAAGAAGAAGTTCCTGACAGAGCCCAAGCAGATCATAAAATTCGTCGTTCTGTTGGCGTGCGTCGTGTTCACTATTTACCAGGTATGTTAGAAGTTGTGTAGCTTAGTTTCACATTTTATAAGTCGCGATCAAAGTACGGGTTTATTAAACATATTTTTGACAAAATTATTACAGTGGCGTTAATAAAACTGAAATTTTTGTGCTGAAATAGCTTTAGTTAATTAAATACAAAGAAAAGTAAGTTTTTTTTTGAGTTTCGCGATCACAGTCGGTGAATTTTCGTCCGTATGTCGGAAAAGAAACGGGATGCGGGTATTCCCTAGCTTCTCGTGTCCAATTTATTGTTGCACAGCGTACGTACTAACAATATTGTTGTGTCGTGTTGTATGAAAGTAACAACAGAAGATTTGCTGCCGGAAAAATCTGGGGGAAGGATAAAAAAAAATTACATGCCAAAATTTAGTTCAGTAAACAAAGACACGTAAAAATCCGGAAAAATTCCGAAAAATTGATTGAACTACTTTACCCCTGCTGAATAAGTATTAGGGCTTCATTTCCAAAATGGCTTCTAAAGTTCGCAAAAAACAGCTTTTTCATTAAAAAAAAACAAACATTTAAGAAAAAAATGTTTGGTAAAAGTTGTAGAACTTTTTACAACAAAAATTTTGAGCCTAGCCCGATATCGATTGATAAACAAATGTATTCATTATTGCAAAAAAACGGCTAAAATCGCATTTGTTTAAAACTTCTTATCTTTAAAACGAAAAAAGATTTCTTTATAAAACTTTCAGAATATGTAGTCCTTGGCAAGTAAAATAAGTGCATTTTTGTAAAATTGCAGAATATTTGATAGTTTTAGCAAAAATTAAGTTTTTCGAAAAAAATATTTTTTTTTTCAAGTTTCTGTAAATTATACACTTATTGGACTTAAAATTTTCTCTAAGAATTGTACTTTTCTCTGCAGTTTGTGCGCGTATTTCAAAATAATTGGAAATATGCGAAAAATCTACCGAAACTAACTTCTTTTTTCGAATTAGAAAAAAATTGTCCTACGACCAACAGGAGCTCGAAAAAAGAAGTCAAAGTTTCGGTAGATTTTTCGCATATTTTGACATCATTTTGCAATACGCGCACAATTTGCACAGGAATGTACATCTCTTAGAGAAAATTTTAAGCCTAACATGGGTGACGTAAATTATTACTGTATGATTTATTGAAACTTGAAAAAAATGTAAATTTTCCGAAAAACTCAATTTTAGCAAAAACTATGAAATATTTTGCGATTTTACAGAAATACACTTATTTTACTTGCCAAAAGGACTACTTATTCTGAAAGATTCGTAAAAAAATATTTTTTCTTTTTAAAGATATAGAAGTTTTAAAAAATACGATTTTTACTAGTTTTTTTGCAATAACTACTACATTCCTTTATCAGTTGACATCAGACTTTTGTTATAAAAAGTTCTACAACTTTTGTCTAGGAGATTTTTTTCTAAAATGTTTAATTTTCTTTTTGATGAAAAATGAAAATGAAAAAAACCGTTTTTGCGAACTTTGGACACCATTTGGAAAATGAAACCCTAACATTCAGCTGTGATAAAGTAGTTCATTCATTTCTACCGTTGAGTGAGGATACTATTTCTCACTAAACGATTCTACGAAATTTTTTCTAATTGTTACGTGTTTTTGTTTATTGAACTAAATTTCAGTAAAAAACAAGTTTTTTTTGATAATTTGATTGGCCTAGTAATACAACAGATAAAGTACGTTGCAACTTTTATAGGAGCTACTTCTTTTTTGTTTATATTTCTTTTTAATTTCTAGAGTAAGGCCATATTTGTACTTTTTCCCATCTGTGCTCATGCATAGAAGTAATACAGAAACTAGTTATGTATTCTATTAATTGAACAAATAACAATTAATTGATTATTTTCACAACAGAACCAAACGCTATATTTTCTAGCTAGTAACATAAGGTTAAGTTGAAAAGCAGCCTTAGCTGATACTTCACCTTTTCATTGTACACTTACTGACAATGAATAAAGACCATTTACGAGCCCAGGCTCATAATAGTTCGGCCGGCCAACGTTTTTAATTAAATACTTGAATAAATTACACATTCTACCAAAATGATGAAAGATTTCCTTAAAACTACCTCACTGTAATAAAATATAGACTATCAATTTGCTAAATTTAATCACTTTTGACAAAATTCAAATTGAGGAAAACGTAGTTAACAAAAATGCAATNGTAAATACAATGTCTAGCAGAATTAAAGCAGTTATTAAGAACAAAGGCGATGTAACTCAATATTAAAGAGTGGCCGAACTTTTATGACCCCTGAGACGGATAAAGTTTTCTATTGTGTAACCATTAGTCGATATATGTATTGAATAAAATGTTCATTTTTGTAACTAAAAAGTTTATATTTTACTGTAGTTAAAGGGATTTTCAGAAATATTTTGTTATTTCTGCATAACACATAGATTATTAAAGTATTTAGTTGAAAACGTTGACCGGCCGAACTATTATGAGCCTGGGCTCGTATTATTATTATTATAATATTTGTTTGTAATTTGTACTGTACTTTTTTTGATGTTTGAATGAACAAAGACGCAAAAACATTGAAAAAATATTTAACTTTTAAATTTTGACATTAGGAGAATTCCAAACCTTAACCAAGAAGCCCCTGACGAGCAATTACTTTGTATGAAAACGCATTTCTGTACGTTTCTCTGATTATATTAATTTATAAAAAACAAAGGTTCGGTGGTGATTTTATCAAAATTCCTGACAGCAAAACGCATACCAATGGAAAATGTGGCTGGTTTTTATTTTTGTGTTAACATAACCGTAATTTTCAACTAAACAACACATTTTCTAAATCAAAACAGAAATCTTTAAGAATGTTTATTTTCAATGTCCCACAATGAACTGGTATAATTTTGTTACATCTATGTATAATTGCAATGTTTGTACTTTTTTTGTTATGGTGCCAACAAAATTATGTGTAAATCACGAGATAACAGATATTAAATAATGAAATTTATTTAAGGATATACGGTTAATACACTTCATTTTTAATTAGTTCACTTCGGACTGACACTAATCCATTTTACACGGAAAGCTTTTAAATACATAAAAAAACAAAAATGAATACATTTTTCCATGGGTTTATCACGGATATAGTTTTTAGTAGATTGAAAATGGCATTTCGCCAAAATATAATCTTTTGATTTCTCAACAGCTTCTTGAAGTGTATCTGGTATTTGTTCGCTTTTTTCATTGTGAAATTTTTGGAAAAGCCTTCTTTGGGGCAAGGATTTATTTTATTTATTTTTATTTTTTTTATAATTGGCAAAAACGACAACTAAGCCACAAATTCATACGTTATAAATCCATATTTCAGTTGTTTGTACCACGTTTCAGTTGGCTGAGTGCGTTCGTAAGATCATCCACCCCCCAATATCAACACACTACAATTTCTATCTGAACGACACCATCAAGTATCCATCTTTAACGATCTGCAGAAGACCACCATATAAAACAGAACTGTTTCCGGTAAGTACCCACTATGAAATTACGAGAACCCGCTTAGATGCACAAATTGTGCCTGGGAAGGACGGTTTATTATTATTGTGTGTCGTTATTGAGTATTTCCTCTCCCGCAGACCTATGGATTACGACAAAGTACCGTGTTGAACGCCCAGAACGCTTTTTCATCCTTCCGCTTCGACAACTTCTCCGTATTGGAGTTTCTCGAGAGCACTTCCTATAGCTTCGACGAGATCTTCGTCCAGTACGGCTACGCGGGTATAGGGTCCAACCCCAGTAAGTTTTAATAAACGAAATGTATTTATTTGATCATTAACTTTTTAATTTAATTTTTTTTCTGAAATCTTATCAAATCAAGCAAATGTACCTAAATTCATAAAGATCCTTAATAAGTGATATTGCGGAAAACAACCACTCTGTCCATTCGCTGCTAGTCAGGGCATGTAGTCCGTGGAGTAGTTGTTTCACGCGACATCATCAGTTAAAAATCTTACCTACGAAATTAGATGCATTTGTGTACCTAGATTTTTTATCTTATGTAGTCAGCATTTGACAGAATTTTAGGATATTTTTTAATTAGCTCAATATCTCAACTCTGACTCATTATTCTGTTAAGATTTGATCATCACCTCTGCGCATCACCTTATGAGCGGCTTGTGTCATACTTTGGAGCCCCAGGTCCAGTCGCAGGCATTCTCTATCAGTGGAGGGTATTTCTTTTATCTGAGCCACAACGAAGCCACTAGAAATGTAGACGAGAATGGAGAGTCCCTGTCTGGATTCGAAATTTATCTTCACGACCACAACGAAATATTAACTTGTAAGAGCACAGTTACAAAATCGCTTTTGCATTTCCATGGATACAAAAGAAACTTTGCAACTAGCATCAAAATTAGCTAACAAAGTTTCTGCTTTGCATGGTTATATTGCTAACCGTTATATTTTTCAGATGAAGAAGATCAGAAGGACAGTTTCTTGGAGTTTCTCTATCTGGAAGCCTCTGAGGATATGAATGTTGTCTTAAATATACAAACTTATGGCAGAATATCAACCAACGACGTTCCTTGCGTCAACGATCCGGACTACAGTAAATCTAAAGTATGCACTCCCATTTGATGCAACAGTAATGTTGCTACACGCTTTAAATTAAATAAAAAAAAAAACAACAGCAGTGTAGAAGATTTCAAATCTCAAAAAAATCAAATACAGTTCTGGAGAGACCATTGCCAATGAAAACTTTTGTGTCTCTAGACTACCACCAAATTATTTTAATTTGCATATGCTCCACTGCCAAAATAACATTTAAAATGGAATAATTTTGTAGAATAAACCAAATCTTATAGTCAAGCAAGCGGTGTTTGTAAAATCGCGTAAAATTGATAAAACACTTTTATTTGCTCCCACTACAGTAAATATACTATTAATACATTGTTTTGAAGGAGAATAGTAGATTTTACCGTAGAAGTGGAAGTTGCTATGGACAAAGGGAGGTACCTAAGTGAGGTTAATTGTCACATTTTTCTCAAAATGATTTGACCTCTCCATTTCATTCACCGGAGGCTCAATATTATCTGACTGATCCATTAAAACAGCATGAAGCGACGTACTACTAGAACCTGGAGTTGAAGTGTCATTGTAGAGAATCCTGTTAGCTATTTCATTTTTGTTACTTAAACTGTCAGCAACATAACTTTCTACAATTGTGGCCGATTTCCACCCACCATGTCTCTTGATTGCTAATACATCAACTCTTGCATTATCCAGTAACGTTGCCGATGTTCTTCGGAATGAATAACCTGTATATGTTTCAGGATGTTCTAGTTTCAAAAACTGTGCAATCTTATTAGGAATCATAGAAAGGATATTCCTTACAGATGACTCCAAAATGACCAGAGGGACGGGTGCAGGAATATATGGACTCAGACCCAGATGAAGTGCAAGCTACAGTCTGGGGGAGTTCCCTACCGTATTCCAAGCAGAAATTTTCGCGATAATGGCGTGTCTGGCAGATAATGTACGTAGAGGGTTATAAATGTAAACTCATATATATATTCTCTGATAGTCAAGCTGCAATTAAAGCTTTAGGCGCACACAAGATAAGTTCAAAACTGGTGTGGGATTGTTTACAAATGCCGACTGAACTGGCCACCAACAATACAGCCAGACTGTGTTGGGTGCCAGGGCACAAAGGCATTTGTGGAAATGAGAAAGCGGACGAACTTGCTAGGAAGGGATCCGAGACGGAGTTCATTGGCCCGGAGCCCTTCTGTGGCACATCTCCCAGTGCGGTCGGCCAGGCTCTGGGCAAATGGACAGAGACAGAACACAGGAAATACTGGACTTCAAGGCCAGGACATAGCCATTCTAAGGAGCTTATGGAGTATCCTTCGAAGGGAAGAGCGAATGAGCTAATGAGCTTGAACAGAATCCGGCTCAGGAGAGTGACAGGACTCATAAC